CATCAATCAATTTGTGGGTCAATACGAACGTATCGTACAAATGTCGCGAATTTCATTCGGGCAGTAAAGCACATACGGCATCTAATGGCACAAGACTCCTCGAGCCTCCTCCCACACCGCAAGAGGCTGATTCACGGTGAACCTGGTCAATAGCATGATAAAGATGGCTTGCCGCACATACGTGAAGGATAATGGCCTCCATTAATCAACGCCTCCGTGCGACGCTTTTATTATTACGATCCAAAAAAGAAAATTGTTAATGGAGAAGCACTTTAGGTAATCCGGTTCAGGCGGCACTCGCGTGCACTCGGCTCAAGACCCATCTGACCCCCATCCCTCCTTTTCCCCTCGTTCATCAGGATCACGATGGGCATAAGCGCTCACGAGGATCGGATCGGGAGAGAACCACAGAAAGCATTCGCCCGTCTTTCAAAAGTGACGGGCAAATGTGGCACGCAGGACACACACACACACACACCCCTCCGCGAATTAACGGGGCATCTCGTACAGCCACGTCAGCTTGATCGGCTCGTTGGTAGGGCACCGCAGCTTCTACATGGGGGCGAGGGGGGGGAAGCTAAAGCCGGAGGGTGGCGTACACAGCAGTTTGAACCGTGTTAAAAATACCGTCCAGCGGTAATAGAGAATCGAATCTGTATCAATAGATTATAGAGCGGTGATGTCACTATGTCGCAAATTACGATCGCTGAATTTGTTCACGTCCATTTCATATTTATGTTGTATATTTAAATGAGTTAAAAGCGAATGTCTCCAGTAACTGTGTGCATACACACCAGACGATGCAATAGCACACGCAGAGCCGCAACTAGGGCACCTTTTTCTTGGTTCTTTCGGTAAAGTCACGTAAAATGGAAATAATAAAATAATAAAACATAATAAAATAATTCTCATGACGTTTCGGCCACAACGCAAGCAGCCGTCCTCAGGTTTCTGTCTTATCGACAGACCTGCTCTCCACCTGTCGATAAGACAGAGTCTGTCTTATCGACAGACCTGGTCTCCACCTGAGGACAGCTGCTTGCGTTGTGGCCGAAACGTCGTGAGAATTATTTTATTATGTTTTATTTTAATTATTTTATTATTTCCATTCTACGTGACTTTACCGACAGAACCAAGAAGATGAATCCCTGCAGTCACGAAAGCTTTAAATCGAAATATAGGGCACCTTTTACGATTGTTACGGTTCAGTGTGAATGCTTGAAGCTTGCAGAAGCCCGACTGTAACATTTACGATTCTTAGAATTCAGTGTTAATGCACGAAGCTCAGACCAGCAGGGACACTGCCATTTGAAATCACCAAGCACTAGAATAATATTCCTCAAAAACAATGCAATGGCACATACTTTACATTCACACCTCTGCTAACTGTAGAAGCTGGCATGAAGAGACACGAAGAAACACACAAAACAAAGATCTCCGTGTAACCTTATAGAATGTTACGGCAAGTGATGTTAGCAAGCCCCTATTAAGTCCAGCACGGCACATGACTGGGTGGTGGTGGGCACGATGCCTAGCAAGCTGTCCGTCTCCCAGGTACTGGAGTTGACACATCAAACCAGGTACTCATTTACGACTGAGTCAACTTAAGAGGCCCAGGAACAGTTGAGATGTCACTCGCCACTGTTAGCCGTGGCAAGTAATTTAACTCAGGTGGTGTGGGTTCCTAGTACAGTGCGCTAGCCATCCGCCACTGCTCTCTATGCACATACACAAAGGGACATGGTAGCTGATTAGCACAAATAATAAATCATAATTCACAGCATTTTGTCAATTCAATTCTGAATGAAGGCCTTCTCACGCTGTGTCAGTTAGGGCAGTTGTTTGATCATACTTCACCATGCCTGGCAGTGTCCAATTGTGAAGGGGGTTCACAGGACGAGTTCAGCTATCCCTCATTACTGATGCAGGCCGTGGCCGGGAATCAAACTCGGGTCGCTGCGTTTATTAAGTTGGGTTGCTAACCACTATGCGACGGCTCCGTCCCAATAACTCAAATGCAAGTACTTTAATATTGGAAGCATATCAATGTTTTGCTACTGCATTAGTAAACAGGACCAGCCGAGGAAAGGAAATAATGTACGTACAAAAGCTGGCCTAAATTGATTGAAGGATGATCCATCGGAGAGGATTGAAGAGTACTTTCCTCGGCTCAATTTTGGCGAGGTGCGGTCGGTCCCCCCTGCACAAGCGTGTCCAAGCATCAAGACAAACCAGGTTAGGTTTCCTCCTCAGAGTGGGGTCGGCACACGAGGGAGCTGCTGTAAAGCATCGCCACCTGCGCTCGTGCCCAATTAACTGGCAGCCCTGTAACGTTCACCCATGCATCAAAGAGCGGAACTAGATTTTGATGTGGATAAGTTATCCACGGAGCTTTTTTTGACCATTTTTATTCTATCATGTAAGGCCCACTGAGCCGTACAGCTCTTTTTCAGAAGCAAGCTGGCCACAAGTGATCGCCCAACGAAGTGGTTTATCATCGTGTGGAAATGTATAGCAGCCAAATACTCTAAACGCATGATTCTAAATATGGAGGGGAAAAACCAGAGGACCTGGAGAAAAATCCACGCAACCACAGGGAGAACATGCAAACTCCAAATATACACGCATCGTCACGGTCGGGATCGAACCCACAACCTCCTGTATATCAGGTGAGGTGTTTAACATCTCGCTACTGTGGTGCACTTAATGAACTGGCAGCTCTGTAACATTCAAGCATTTCACAATGAGCGGAACTAGATTTCAATGTGGCGGAGTTCCTCACGGAGCTTATAGTGTCACAGTGCTAGGCTGGCATTACTGAGATCCTCAACTCGAGATCCTTATTATTATTATTACGAAGCTTGTTTATTCAGGAAGGCCTCACTGAGTATCAACAGTCTTCTTCAAGAGTGTCCTGCCAAGTGTTTTAGGAGGGGCTAATATTTTTGTGTGTAATCAAAATCAAGTAAATCGGCAGGTCATTGTCAGCATTGGGATTTTTGGCCGGTATGTTGTTTTTAGCTATGGGAGGAATTCCTGAGACACCGGAGGAAAATCATGCAGAACAGGGAGAGAAAATACAAACTCTTCACAGAAAGGCGCCCGAGTTGGAAAGCGAAGCCATACTCTAAATGCATTCTCGTATAATTCTAGAGTTTATTTTTGGCTGTGTGGAGCAGGGGCAGTTATTTGCACAATGCACTCCAAAATGTCAAACTTGAATTGAAATTCCTCGTCACGGCTAACGTCAGTGGAAAGTAATATTGAACCAGGTCTGGTCGGCCTCCGCTTTCACAAACCCTCACTGACTAATGTAGTGAAGATAAAAAAACAACCCCAACACAACAGCTGACATGGCATAGGGATGCCTTCCTCCAGCAGTGGATGGATAAAGGGCTATAAATGTATTATTATACAGTAAAAATCTCTGTTGAGCTTTTTGCTCTATTTTCTTTGTAACCTATGTCTCAGTAGACCTGTTGTCTCAGTGGGGATCTCACCTAGTCATAAACATGACTGAGTGATTTAAAGCTTTCGTGACAGCAGGGATTCATATTCTTGGTTCTTTCTGTAAGTCACGTAGAAGGGAAATAATAAAATAATATTAATATAAAGCAATAAAAATTCACACGATGTTTCGACTGCAACACAAGCAATCATCAAGAATATGACTGAGTGAATTGAAATTGAGATTTCAGCCACCCGTAATTAAACCGGGCTATTCAAAGTGAGCCGATGGCCTTGCCCTGGTAGCTAATGACTGAACATGAAGCCATTGCTACAAGGAGTCATGTTTACATAGACCACAATACCTGCAGTCATAATGCAAACAAAAAACATAACTCTGATAATGTGCACTGTCCTTGCAGTTGATTGGTCCACACCCGAGACAGCTTTCCTTAGAGCCTAGTCTCACATGGGTTGGACCAGATGACGCCAGAGTTATGTTTTTGTTTGCATTATGACCGCAGGTATTGTAGTCTATGTGAACATGACTCCTTGTAAAAAAGGTGTCAGTTTTGTTGCCAGATAGAAGGGTAAAAAAACAATTATCATATTTTTTACTGGCAAATGAGGTTCCAATGATGAAGCCATTGCGTTACATTTGTCGCCCAATTCGGCGAGTTGCAACTATGTGATTGAAAAACGTCGACTCGATTGCCGTGCGATGAGCACTCAATGCACCCCCCCGAGTGTGGATCGGAGACTGCTGAAGTGATCGGAGAAGTAGTTTTGCAAGATCTGCAGGGGGACCGTGGTCTGACACGAGACGATTCGACGCTCACCGAGAGGGCCTGGAATGAAAAGCTCTTCATCTCATAGCAACAGGACACCGATAGCGTAGCTAGAAAAACATAATTAGGAGGTAGAAAAAAAACGCGATGAGGAGACGGTCCATTTAAAAAGCATCTGTTTTGTTAGGGGTTAAACCGCATGTGTGTATGTATGAAAAGCAAGCCATCGCACATACCCACACATTAAACACGTCGGCTTATACCAACGCACTTGCGTTCTAAAGCATGCATGCGTATGCTCACCACACTGGTACCCAGCTTAATATTACGTCTTTTTTAATGCATTTAGTTTTTCAACAGCATTTCCTTACCAACCTTGCCCAAACAAGTGTACAGATCTAGGCATTGCTAAGCTGTGTCGTTATTTTCAGAGCAATTCATTGAAGGCTTTTGAAAATATTCGTTTCGTTTTTAATTTTTGTCTGCCCCCAAATTTGACCCCAATTGTGCAACTGCAATCCTGTAGCACAATCCATTCAGAACTCTTGCAGAGCAGTAAATCATCTCCACGTTACACAGAACAATCCGCAGAAGGGGATCTTATGTGATCCCATCAAGTGACCCTTTAATATGCACTGTGGGGGGGGTCAACAGTTTCGACAGATGGACTGACAGACAGACGTAATATTTTGTGGGCATATTAAAAAAGTAGCTCATCGGTTCCTTTAACGAAGATACAGCAGATGGCTGCCTGTGCCCACCGACCTGGATACTGTTGGGAGCAAGGGTTTCGCCACACGATCGCTTCCTTCGCACGTAGAACAGCAGGTCGTCCTGGGCCTGCTCCGCCGTCTCCATGAAGTAGTTGGAGAACATCTGCGTCCAGAAGACGATGCGGTCATCGGCCAGGAACCCTGCAGGGTGGGGCGCCCACGTGAACAAGGGACAAGGAAAACGTGGGTAGCACCACAGAGGGAAGGGGGGAAACAGCAAGAACATTATTGAGACGCCGACGTTGTTGTTACAAGATGTTTAAAACTTGAACGGTGGTTGCGGTAGATTGTGTGCGCATTGGTAATCATGGTTTTGGCGTGGTCGGGTGGCTCAGATGTCAGAGTGCCTGAGTAGGCACCGCTGAGATACTGGGTTTAGACACAAACAAACCGTGTTCTTACGTGTAGTGAGTTGATGGTCACAGTCTGGTCACCAGTGACTGCACGTTAAATCTATCAGAGTAAACGTGGGTTTGCACTTAATAAGTTGGATAAATGCCATGCCTGATAATTAATAAAAACCAATTTCACTTTGACTTTAATGCAACAAGAAATCTCACAGCAGAGTGTATGGGAACGTGCAGCCCCTGCTGTATGAATGATAAAAAGGGCACTTTAAGGAATTATTTGGTGTCAGAGAACGCAGCCATTTTATGACACACGGGATGTAGGATTTTCAAATGTATTCTTCATCTTAGGGCATGATGTTGATAGTACAATGGGATAAAATTGGGGGCACGAGTGGGAGATAAGACCACAATATATTAATGAAAAATTCTAATATATTGGTGCTGCCTGTAAATAAAACAATCGTGTAAAATACATTAACAATCTATTGTACCGCATGATGTCCGACGTAGCACTCCACAGTAACAATTCAGTTGCCAGGCAACCGAAAAATGCATCAGAGAGCTGTACAACACAACCTCCCAAAATCTACGCAGTGGTACAATGATCCATATCAACGTTCTTTGTTCTCATTATGCACCAAGATATCATGGTTAAATAAACAAACCAGGAACGTATACCTCGCATTAACATAATCCATTTAACTACTTTTCTGATAATTCGAGTACCGAACAATTAAGTGCGCACTTTCGCGCAACACAACGGCAGCTTTGTCTGTCCGAGCAGGCTTATTGTCAGTGGGGCAATCGTGCGGCGTAGAATCACAAACGGATTATGGCACTGTTCAAACTGGTGCAATCTGGCTCGATCAGACGTGATGTCACTGCTCATCCGCCTTGATGTGTGCATTCATTTGGGGGTTTTTCCAACGCATAAACCTGCTTAGAAATAGCCATCTGTCTTTTTGCTGATGTATTGGTTGCTTTGGGATTTTGATGCGAATCTAAAGCATTAAAATACAATTTCATGATTTATCTTGCACTTAATCCACAAAAGACCGTTTTTTAAATTCATTCTAAACTGTGCTAATATACAAATATTGTTGTTTTAACCACCGACCATTTTTGCACAGAATATCCAGCGATAATTGGCACCAGTATCTAAGCGAAAGGTCAGGAATAAATGAAACACAAAAATATTCGTGGCTTTTCGTAACATGGCGTCAATTTAATCCTTGTCGAGCAGCGTTGGTCGGACGCATATTGAATGGGGCAACAGAAAGCACCCAACAACACTCGTCGTCACCTTACGATTAGAGATTTGCATTCAGTAGATGTAGGATGATGTCACTTGGAGTGCCACACGCAAAAAACTGCAGTGGCCACTGTCACATCAGCCAGCATCCTTCCGCTGCACTCTTTCTTCGCTTGAGGCTCGCTCTTAAGGCTATTTGGTTGCCAATGAAAATATGGGGTTGCATTTTTATCCGAAGCGTGTACAAACACTTAAGTGGTTGCAAGTGACCATATTAACAGCAGCTGTGTTTTAAAAAATATCGATTTAGTATCCAGTTACTACATCAGCCACACCCAATGTATGGGAGGGGGGCTTCTGCTTCTCTGCTTCTGCCCCCCAGGGGCTAAATTCCCTCCAGCTATCCATGCTGCAGACACCCTGCCACTGTCCAAGTGGCTCAAGACCTTTCTCTACTCTATTCATGACTGTGTCCCATCGATATAGTAATGTAAATGACACCTTACTTAAAAAGTTATTTATAGTACAGTTATATTCTAGATTTGAAGCTTTCGTGACTGCAAGGATTCATATTCTTAGGTTTTTTTCGGTAAAGTCACGTAGGTAAAAAATTAAAATTAATAAAAAATAAAATAAAAATCACGACGTTTCGGAGGCAACACAAGCTTCCGTCTTCAGGAGGAACCGTCACAGCCACGACAGCTGTAAAAAAAAAGCGTCGTGATTTTAATTTTATTTTACTTTTATTAATTTAAATGTTTTACCTACGTGACTTTACCGAAAAAAACCTAAGAATAGTACAGTTATAATTGTAAAATGTCAAGGTGCAGTCCTACAATGTATTGCTTATGCAACTGTTGCCAGAACGCCCTCACCTAGCTTTACAGAGCCCCCTAGAGGGTATGTGGCCTACTCTTCCACACTGGCCAGGTGTCTTGCAAGATGTGCGAGGACACACTCTTTCCACCACTGCACGGGACATGCTGATTGATTGTGGTTGTACCCATTTATACTGCTGGATGGACAGAGGCAGGGAGATGAAATTAAAATAACGTACCCATTGTTTGGGTGGACAGAGGCAGATTTAAGAACCTGTACCATCATAACTTAAAGCTTTGGGTATTTCGGTAAAGTCACGTAGATAGGTTCAAAGAAAATAACAAAAAAAGTACGTTTCGATCGCAACACAAGCCCCTTTTCCTGATGACGACTGCTTGTGTTGCGATCGAAACGTCGTAGTTTTTTGTTATTTTCTTTTAACCTATCTACGTGACTTTACCGAAAGACCCAAAGAATACTTTACCATCATTTTAACTGCCAAGTCTGGTAAGTTAACAATTACACCAAAAAATAAATTTGTAAATAGGGAGCAGTGTGCACAGAATCTCCAAAATCAGATGCACACGTCCCCACATTAGGTGCAGCGTCATTAAATTATGTTTTGTGTTTTATCCTGCATGAATGAAACACAGTAATTATCGTGACTCAGCTTTAATTTGCGAGAAGCAAAACACTGAGAAGACCACCAGCCTGAGTTTCCATTTCAAAGCAAAACACAGTGGGGGTTTATTTGTTTGTTAACACGATTACTATTTGCAGGGACACGAGATTAAGGACACAACACAAGATATCACCAATTGCCTGAGTTGCCTTGTGTCGCATCTGTACATGGAGTGGCTAACGGTGCAAATGGGTGAGAACAACCAAAAGTCGTGTTGGGAGAACAAAGAAATATGTGGCGTTGCCTCTTCTGGAAGCTCTGGCTAGGGTAGAAGTCTATATGCGTAAGGCTGATGAAAAGTTCAGTGGAAGAATAATCAAGCATGGACTTCCAGATGTAGGTATAACTGAGCAGCAGTTACCCACTGAAATAATGGGAAGCAGTGATATTGCGGATGGCCAGAACAGCTGACTGCAACAATCATTACCCTAATTGGTCTTGCCTCATCTGCTATACATCCACTACTGGTAATTACTACAATCACCCCAATCATTACTACCGTTTACACCACCACCAACATTACCAGAAGTGACGCAGTGGTGACAAAGAGGTTAGCGCACTGCGCTATGAACCCTGTAACCGGAGTATGATCTCGGCCACGGATAACACCATTGGAGAGCGATTCCTGAACTGGTCGTGGACCGGCAGTGGTCAGTGTGAAGTGCAGAGAAGGAAATTAAAAGAACCCCCACGATCAACGCGGTATGGAGTGGGATTCATCCAGCATTGGACTGACAAAGGTGCTGTACTGGACATCACCACCACCTCGATCATCTACAATACACCATGACTTGTCTCTATGAATACCAAAACACCTCAATCACCACCACGCCCCATCCAGCACCAAAGAAAGTCGAAGTGATTTTGTGGCACCTCTTATACAAATCCCGAAACAGCAGTGGTAATTCTGCATCCCCATAGCAGGGACGAGTTTATTCGTAGGACAAATGCTGTTGACTTCCCACATATTTGATACTCATTGATAACTTATTTTTTGTCTTTTCCCCGATTTTATTTCATTGGTATCAGGTCATGGGGGTTGCAAGTATATATTCGAAACTACCAGAGAGCCCTGCCTTACCACATGTGTTGGACAATCGTTCGTGGAAGGCGACATTACACAACGACTGTACTTCAGAGATCTATTTTAGTGACCTCTTATTAACACACTAGGGGGCGCACTTTTCCACAAACCCTGCAATGGATAAGTATTCATCGAATGGTATAGTACAGTCAGTACACTCGATATTTCTACATTCTCAAAGAGCAGCAATGTGATTTTCGTGTGGTTGTGGCCAGGCTGAGAACCGCAAGTCACCAAAATTAAAACAAAGTTTAATCACGGATGGCTAAAACCAAAATTGTATCTCTGGGCTCAGCATTACCAGCCCAGTGCTTCTGACCTTGTGAAAGACCCAACACAGAAGATCTCTGGGTTTGATCTTCCACGAAGCTCATGGTCCACCCTAAATCTCATCCGCATAAACCATGAGAGATGCGGATATACCTGATGCACAAATGGAAAATGTAAAACTCTCCAGTAGTGTGCGAATGTGGTCATCCAGAACAAGACTGTACAACGTGTAACGTCGCAATGCCCCCATCCACAAATACGAAAGAGACATGACAGGTTTTGTGGCTTGAACACCTCAATGTGAAACTGGAGTTGTTGTTCTTCATCTACACCAGCAGACGTACGAAACAAGACGTGCTCCGACCCCGAGCCACCAAGGCCATGTCGCCTTTGTTGATTTTTAACTCCATCATCAACCACACCAATCATCTCCACTACCGACACTACATTTTTTAAAATAGTTTGGAACTAAACAATGTGGCACACAGCTCTATGCCAGTGGTGGTAACTTTACATTTTCACGGCAGGGGGTAGTCAATTAATTGAATAAGGTTACAATTACAGTGTACTTATGAACCTGTGATATCCAATGGCTATATCTCCACCACAATTTTCAGCACCACCTCAACAACATTGCCACCAACACCATCACGACCATCACCAGCACAATGACCACTCCTACCACAATGACCACCACAACAATGACCTCCACCACAACGACTATATCACTTCCACAACGAACACCACCAACCACAATGACCACCACAACAATGAATGTCATCATAACAATGCACATACACCCACCGTAGCTACCAATGATTGCAACGTGCCCACACAATGACCATCACAACACAATAATGACCGCCGCCACAATGAAAATCCGGCACAATGACCACCAACTACTGTACCACCACGTTTGCAATGACCGTCACCACAATGACCTACCACCACCACAGTGAGCAACAACGATCATCATACCTACCAAAGCTACAACCACAACAATGACCACACAACCACAGTGCAACCAAAACATCTGCAATGACCCATCACAAAACAACCACCAACAACAACGACTACAATGCCCACCGTTCCAACCAACAACAACAACCACAACCACCACCACCACCACAGTGACCATAAGCAACAACGATCATCATACCCACCAAAACTACAACCACAACAATGACCACACAACCACAGTGCAACCAAAACATCTGCAATGACCCATCACCACAACAACCACCACCACCACCAACAACAAGGACTACAATGCCCACCGTTCCAACCAACCACAACCACCACAACCACCACCACCATCTTCATCACACCGATCTGTCCATAACCCTACAGGAAAACCCACCCTCTGGGTCTGTGCAATCCCCGCACCCAAACACCCACCACCACTCGGCTCCGGACCATCTTCACCCTGCCCGCAGCCCAGCCTCTGCCTCTCCCGGGCGATGGCGAGCAGCATGGAGGCCAGCGACGACGACGACGACGAAGAGGACGACGACGACGAGGTGGTGGACGAGGTGGACGAGCTGGAAGACGCAGAGGATGAGGAGAGATCCGGCTCAGGCGCAGGGAGCGAAGCCGTGGGCCGGGGAACTCGTGCCGCCATGGCTCGCCCTGGATCCGGGCGCTGTCATTTCAGCTGCGCCGAGACGACTTCCTCCGTGACTCTCGCCTCGTGTCTCCTGCCGTCCCAGCTCAGCTCCTACGGGAGGAAGAGGAGGAGGAAGAGGAAGGTGGCGGCCCCGGTTCGGGAGCCGGGCGAGAGCGTCTCATGGCAAGGAATGGAAGCGCGCCAGAGAGACACAAAGAAGAAGATGCTGCTGCTGAGCGTGGATGGGGATGCGACTGGATGTCCGTGCTCTCTCTTCCTCCTCCCCCCCCTCTCTCTCTATCTCTCTCTCCCTCACTCAGCTTATTGCCGCTGCTGCTGTTGTTGTTGCTGCTGCTGCTGATGCTGTCATTCCACTCGTGACGGTGGTGACGGTGATGATGTCGACGGCGATGACCCGCGGGTTGAGGTTGAATTGTGACGTCACCCGCCGACATGTTGGTGGTCAGTTTTTTAGAATGATGCTTATTATTTTTGTTTAGACGGCGGCTTTGCGCTGTAGTTTTGTTTTGGTTTCTTTTTGCGCAAGTTTTATGTCGGTGCTTTGCGAGGTAAGCGGCCGTGACATGTTCTGTGGGGGTTGTCTATAAGTTTTTTGCGTCGTTTTCTATTCGGAAATTGGTCGTTGTGATCGTTTTTTATTGATTGCATCCGCCATGTTGGTGGTCATTGTTGTTAGTTCGCCACCGGCTGGCTTGTTTGTGCGGTTACGTTTGAGTGAATACGATTGTTTCTGTGTTGAGGGGTAGCTTCATTGTACCTCTGGAAAGAAAGTCGACACCTGAAATGTTGGTGGGGCCGTCCATAAATGACGTCACGCCAATTTTGACGATTTTTGACCCCCCCCCCTCTCGTCACACGACGTCACAAAAAGTCAAATATGACGTCACAAAGCTCTGCCCCCCCCCCCCCCCCCAAATAAAACATGCTTCAAATTGCTTTAAACTATTGTCATTGTAGTGCGTATTTAATGTGGCGCTGCACTCTGATGTTGTAGGAGAAAACATTTATAAAAAAGTCTATTTAATTAAGTAGAACGTGTTGTCTATATTTATTTAAAGTTGCGCATTTTCATGTGACGTCACATTTCTCACCCCCCTTCCCCCCTTGTCACACATCGTCACAAATGTCTGACCCCCCCCCCAAGTGCGTGACGTCATTTATGGACAGCCTATTGTCGATCACCAAACGCCATGCTGGTGGTCAGTTTTTGGCAAAACACCAATGTGTGGTCACTGGTCAATATATTTTGTTCTAATACAGTTATAAGTGTGTGTGTGTGTGCACAGGGAATGTACTACAGATGCTATGTAAAGATTGTCACTGTAGTGGCTTGTATATGTGTTTATGGTCAAGTGTCAAATATGTGAATAGTGTTACATACGTCTTCTTGGTTCTTTCGGTAAAGTCACGTAGAAGGGAAATAATAAAAATAAAACATAATAATATACTATATAATAAAATAATATTTTATTATATTATATTTCCCTTCTACGTGACTTTACCGAAAGAACCAAGAAGATGAATCCCTGCAGTCACGAAAGCTTTAAATCGAAATGTTACATACGTGTTGTGGTCGTCATTGTTAACAAGGCCACATTCGGCATCTTGGTGGTCTGTGTGAGATCTCCTGTGGCTGTGATCACCCGTTCACAGGGTTTCGGCGTTACTATGATCACTGTAACCATCATAATCAACCATTATCCATCCACTGCTGGATGGAGGTCTCCCCACGCCATCACCAATCTTTTGAGGTCTTGCGAAGTCACAGTCCATCTCCTCCTGCACGTCGGCTGATCTCGACCCTCACGTTTTGCTGTGGTCATCATCCTCTCGGGCATATTATCTAATTTGCGTATCTTTTACCAGTTTTAGTGTATATCGGCCACCATCCCCGTCTAGCAGTATGACCTGGTGAAGTCCACTTTCTTTCCTTATCGTTCAATAAGATGTCTCTAATGTTTCTCGCTTGTCCCGTTATCCATGTGTTCATCTTAAACCTATCGTGGTTTAAGAGCCTTAATGTTAGCCAGGTAAGTATTTGAAGAAGAGTATTCTTGAATCCTAAAGCTCTGTGTTTGATTCCTGGAAACACTAATAAACCCACTCTTACATTATTACTGTCAGCGCTCAATGACAGAAAATATTGCTACTTTTAAAATGTATGGAGATCTCTCATTTTCTTCTCACCTCACTAAATCCTTCTGTCCCAATTTATTCCTCTCAGTTATGTCTCCGGTTCGAGTGGGTTTCATTTATCATGGGTGCATAAGTGGTACGTAGCAATGGTTACATTCAAATTTCATGGTGCTTGTACCCTCTGATTCACTCATTTTGTCATTTACCCTCCCAGCTGATGCCGTGGTTAATCGTTCAAATGGATACCAGCTCCAAATTTGGCTTGTATTATCTCTGGAGGTCACTTATTAAGAACAAAAATGCGCAAGCCACCTAAACATCACATATGTCCAACATATTTCGAAGATGGCCACCATTTGTTCACTGACTATATACCGTACTGCACTATAATTGACGTATAGTGCTTTATTGTTGTCCATGAAAGAAGTTACTGGGTCCAATCTGTACTGGATGCAGAGACCGTACAATATCCATTGTCGTACAGTTTCTTAATAAACATTGCAGTACTGTTTCTTAATAAAGAATTTCATGTAATAAAAATACTTCTACCTTTTGAAATAAGAATCAAGATGTATTTATAAATACATTTAAATGTAGAACTAATTTACCGTGTTGAGTGTTTGATTTGCACGTGTGTGTGTGTTACATGTGTATTCCAGTGAGAGTGGTGGCATAGTGGTTAGCACGCTGCACTACGAACCACGGGACAATTCCCAGCCATTGCCGACATCGGTGGAGAATGATATCAGAACCAGTCCAGGAGCATCCCTTAAATGAGTATCTGGTGTTATGGTGTGAACATCACTGAGGAAACAAAGTCGGTCAAACACGGTACTGGCCATATCAAAACTTCATTTTCCATTTTGTCATAAATTGGTACAGTACTCAGTAATGACACTTGCCTTAACACCTGTATTATTATATGGTATTTTGCTGTTGTATGTGTATTACGAGTATTCAGAATATAAACATGTATGTTTAGTTATATTATTGTAATACCCCAGATGTTCTGTCACGTCATTAAGCACAATTGATTTCCATTTGCAAACACCTGATTGCTTGCTATTCTTTAACTTAAATAAGTAATATTTTAAAAAACCTTTTTTTTTTAAACACGCTTTAATACAATGTAACGTACTAGTAATATAAGAACTCCACGACTCCACGAAGTGGCCCCGAAGCTTGCCATAACGTAAGGGACCGTGGTGATTTACAGCCAACGTCAGTTGACCTTGGACAATGAGACCCAAGCCTAAACATAACATATAAAAAAGAATGTTTAAAAAAAAATATTTGGATGATAGAATATAGTATTGTCATCAGCATGACATAAGTATTCCAAGTTTGCAGTCGATACCACATTGGGAAGTGGGTTAAAATTGAGTTACAAGATTTGAGGATACATCAACAACAACAGACAGAGTGAGTTAATAAAAAGCGTGTAAATAATAATAAAAACACGTCACAATGTTAGACACAGAGCATTGTGCTGGCTAGATTCGAACGACCCAGCAAGCGTAGCCTCTACGACCATTCCCAATACCCATGATTGTGCTCTCACTTATTCAAGACCCCTCTGGATCCTGGAGAATTGAGGCTGCCGAGTTTTCACGCATCGCAGAAATAGAGCTTTTCTTTTCCGGCATGACATCAGCCTAATACCTCCTTTGCCAGTATTGCATTATGATAATAGGGGTTTCCCCTTTTTGGCTAATAAAACAGTTGTGTTAAGATGTTAAAACACCAAACTGAAACATTTGCAAGGAATCATGTCTGCATTAACCACATGTAATTTTGGTGAAAATGCAAACAAAAATGAGGTCTCATGATGGAGCTGCTCGACCCGAGCTCTTATTACTCTGATGGTGGCGTTGTCTTCGTGCTGTTCGCCTTTTAGCGTCCTCTGGTCTAACACTGTTTGAGACGAGGCTCTAAAGAAAGCTGTCTCTGGTGTGGACCAATCAGTTTCACGGACAATGCACATACTGTGAGAGCATGTTTTTTTGTTTGCATTTTCACCACAAGTATATGTGGTTAATGCAGACACGATTCCTTAAAAAGGTTTCAGTTTGGTGTTTTAACATATTAACATCTGTTTTATTTTGATTTAAAGCTTTCGTGACTGCAGGGATTCATAGTCTTGGTTCTTTCGGTAATGTCACGTAGAAGGGAAACAATAAAATAATACAAATATAAAACAAAATTCTCACGACATTTCGACTGCAACACAAGTAATCATCATCAGGTGTGAAAAACACAGCAAGAAAATTTGAAAAAAGTGTTTTATTGCCAGAAAGGAGAAAACCCTATTATGATATCAGCCGGGTTTTTTTCCCAAGTATGCCGCATCACAATTCACTAAGCACCTTCCATTTGAGAATGGGTCAGATTATGCACATGACCTTCCTACAGGACAGCACTGATGATTAGACCATTGTTTTTTTTTAATAATAATACGGCTTAATCGAGCAGATGAGTGCGTAATTAATTACTATCCGACGTAAGGGCACACTAATTAGCATTTCCTCTGGTGATGAATTTAATTACGAGGATTATTGGGACTCCTTGGCAACCAATGAAGACACGTGCATATCAACAGTATCCATTGGGGGAAATGGTTGATGTGGATTTTGTAGATATGAATCCTGCAGAGAATCTGGCAGTACAAGCCAATAAACATGCACCTAATGTAATTAAATTTCCCCAATCCCAGCTGCTGACAACAATATAAATTGGGTGAGGATTATAGGTTAAGGTGGGTAGAGGCATTAGCGTATTCGCCAATTGTGGTGTATACTTATAGCAGAAACTGATAACCTTAAAAGTGTGAATGAAAGTTTTTTTTTTAAATAAAGTAAATGGTGTGACCGTGGCCATCCAGAACAGACCATACAACGTAGAACGACGCAATGCCCGACCCACAAATACGAAAGAGATCCCTCTGCTCCTGACGCGGTTGTCTGGCTTGACCACCTGAATGTCAAATTGTATTTGCTGCTCTGCATCTACATCGGCAGCCGTACGAAAGAAGAAGAAGACTTGCTCACGCCGCTGCTGGTGGAAAGGCCTCCACTAGCGGGAGATATAGAGAGCCCCTCTGGAGGGTAATTTGGTCTACTCTTTCACGCTCGCCCGACTTCTCGGAAGAGGTGGGAGCAGCCAAACTGTTATCCCACCGCGTGCGACGTGCCAATCGGCTGATTGCCGATCGATCAATGTGTGCA